TTTTTATAGAAAGAAATAATCACAAATTATCATTGAGGATTATTTCAAATATACCTGTACCAATTTTCGTCATTTGAATATACAATGTGTCTGAAAAAAAAATTAAAAAGGATAAGTAAGCAATATTTTTCATCCTGATAATTCTTCACTCAAAATAAAAAGATGAATCAGGATCACTTGGAACATACCTGTACCGATTTTCATCATCATTATACACAGGGTGTTCGAAAAATCAACTATAATTTTTTTTTTGAGTTGATGAAAAAATATTGCCTACTTTTTCTTTTTAATTGCTTTCTCATACACATCGTATTTTTTAATGATGAAAATCGGTACAGATATGTTCAAAGTGATACTCAATAATAATGTGTCATCAATTCTTCTCAAAAATACCACAATACTACATTTTCTGATCACCTATTTAAAAAAAAACATAATTCGTTTTTTCGTACACCTATCCAACAAAAAATAGTAGATTGTTTTATTAGGATCAAATGTGACACTTTGTTTGACAAGCGAATTTTGCATTTGCGAGGCGGAGCTTTTAGCGAAGCCGAACGAAAGCAAAATTTGCGAGTCGAACAAGGTCACTTTTGATCCGAATGAAACATGCTATTTTTTCTGCAACCGAAACAATTAACTCAAATAAACATGTGAAGTAACCACCAATGCCGTGCCATATGTATGCAATGCAACAAATATTGACAAATAATCCATGTGGTGAGAATATTGTACCTGCATTAGCAGCAGGCAGCAGGTTAGGTTTTCTAGGATGTTCGAATTGTAGTTTCAATATGAATACAACCACAGAGTGACATATTTGTGTATGGACCAGATGCTCTAATGGCAAATACCGCGCCAGTGCCAGCTATAGGATTAAGACGTGGAAAATGTTAGGTTAGTGAGCATATCATCAATGATAATAGTGATTATTTATTCCTCTCCATACTACACTATGTTTGACTTGATAATCAAATGAAGCTAAACAATATCGTTGTTTGAGACAAAAAACTATTGCTTGCCGTGATTATTCAAAAACAAGTTATTTATCCCCAGAATAACGAATGAAATACAGATCAAGCAAGTATTTGAATCTTGAAGGCTTCCCTGATCAAAACAAAAATACCTAACTGAGATGTTTATAATTCCAATACTAAACTATAATAAGGTGTATTTATATCTCCAGCATGGGTATGAAATGCCAAATCTGCTGAAATCGGAAACAAATCAGGTATGCGTCTCAACCCAAATACCAACCGTCACAATGTTGTTTATTCTTGATGACGTCCAGTAGATCCTTCTTAGTTCCTAGGAACTAAAATTCAACTGTAGCTCCTAGGAACTAAATATGTTGCCTAGCAACATACCTATTTTTGTGTCAGTAATAGAAACGTCAATTTAAGAGCTAATTTTGGTATCAAAATGGACGACTTTTGTGTCGGTTGCAGAAAAACATACATACTTACCAAGCTAACAAAAGCGTCGCAACAATGAGAAAAATCATGAAATTCAGTAAAATGCTCTGTTCAATAGTTGCATTCCTGTTGCCACGAGCCGTAATATTCTAATTATTCCATCCTTTCATGTGCGAAGGCACCACATGTAGGTCGATATAATTTTCCCTATACAATGTTAAGGTCGAAGGCAAACATCGCCCCTGCGTGTGGCAGCCCAGACAACACAAGTGAATCCATTGGACAACCAATGGATGTCCAGCTATGGATACCTTGGACATCCATTGGATGGACGGCATTGTCCAGTATTTGTCCAATGGACATCCATTGGATAATACATGTCCAACAGTTTGGACATACATTGGAAGTCCATTGGCTTTCCATTAGACATCTGATGGATTTCCATTGGACATCCAATATTTGTCCTTTCCATTGGAAGTCTATTGGATACTCATCAGACATCCAATGGATTCCCAATGAAGATCCATTGTATGTCCATTACATTTGAAATACCATTGAATACACATCAGAACTCTAATGGATGTCTACCAAAAATCCAACTTATGTCCATTCCAATGATAAGTTTATTGGATACTCATCAGGAATTCATTGGATTTCCATTGGATATCCAAATTTTGTCCAGCCAGAACGTAGAAATTAAAAAAAAGTTGTCCTTTGAGGGGATTGAACTCCGGGCCCCGCTCTCGTGGATCACAACGCTAACCTCTGGACCACTGAGCTGTTATAAATATTATAGCAAGTATTTCGTATTCACGGTATTTCACATCGAGAGAAAATGCAATTTGCTGAAGTTTAGTGCCGCAATAAAGCTTTTACACGGCCCTTATCAAAAGTGTTACAGGGTGATTCATCTTTTTCGAAAGAAACCCGCCGTATAATATTTGCCCATATCGATCTTATTTGCACGGCCTAAATGGTTTGTAATTGTAATTGGATGAAAATCAACTTCAAAATAAGTACCTACCTCTATATAGGTACGTAACCTACAAAAATGATGAGACGTATAAAATCTTGAAAAATAGTACCGAGTGCGAAGTTGTCCGTGATTAATGTTCATATATATATTATATATTATTGGTAAAAATATTTCAATTGAAATAGAAGAGTCATAAATGACACATATATACTTTGCGAAACGATTTCCATTGGATAAGTATTATGGATATCCATTGGCTGTAAAAATTTCGTTGTCCATTGTACAACTACAAAATGGATGTCCATTGTATGTACAAATCTCTATGTCCATTGTACATATACACAATGGATGTCCATTGGACATCCATGGACATCCGGCTACCTAATGGATTCAAAATGGACATCCAATGGATGTATGTGTGTTATCTGGGAGTGACGTCAATTTCCTCTATAATTATGTTATAGAATAGGTAGTAGATATGAAAACACGAAGAAAACATTGTTTCCGATCAATAGGAATTCAATATTGAAAAAATAGTACAAACGGAGTATATCGTTTTATGAAAGCTCGAGATTTGAAAGTTTGGCGGTCGAGCGATTTGGGTCCGCCACAATTCCAAACCAGCGACAAAGTGAAAATGAAGTTCAGGACAGGAACTTTATTTATTCCCGTGGAAAGTCATCAAATAAATTAGCCATCCATCAACCACCATTTAAATCTATAGTCTGATAAGATTACCGATTCACAGTGAAATCAAATGTAACTTCCAAAGAAATCGAGAAAGAACTATTCAAAAATAAATCATATTATGGAGAAGCTCGGGGAAAAGGAACTAATTCACAATCTTTAGGTACATGGTGATAATTATATGAGAACTTATAATTCGTCTACAAAACAATAATATTTGAAAACAATAAATTATAATAACAATAACATTTGCATATCCACTTATACAATACATCACGAAAATGGATGTGTCAGATTAAATGTAAGTATATGCCTATATAGACCTTATTGAATAAATATAGTTGGATTCTAATTCTACTGAGTGCATAACTTATAAGTTACTTACGAATGCACATCTAATATACTAATACCACAATTATATCGAAAATAGTTATATAATTATGGAAGAACGAGTTTTTATTATATCATTAGCTAACAGAACATGACATAAATCTGCTAGTTCCAAATTCAGTAATTTTAGAATAAATCATTCATAAAAAATACAAAAATAGTACCAAGTTATAGAATCATATACAGGGTGTCCCAAAATTACATAGAAATATCTCTACCACAAAGTCTAGAAACAAAAATAGTAAAAAAAGTTCATAAAAACATGAGACGAGAAATGGCCCCTTGGCCCTGGGTAGTTATAGCAATCTGAGTATTTTTTGTAAATATTTCCATCTGTGATGAGATAACGAAATTTTGTACATGTATATTACTTTTCATGACCGATTCAGAGATGTCAAGAATCTTCCTAAATTTTGATCAGGGGCGTGGTAAATAGGTGGTGCAAGGGGCAGTTCTTCCCCCTACTTTTATTCTATGCAATTTTCTACAGTTTGACCAGGAAATATGAAAATTTCATCAATTTTACTTGAGAATGATTAGTTTAGTTTCGATAGCACTCACCATTTCTGAGATAAATTGATTTTAAAAGTTTGCTGCGTAACAAAAATAGTGCTTTTTCCTTATAATAGGGTAACAAATTTTCCCAAAAATTATTTTTCGATTGCAAATACCATTTTTTCAACATCTAATTGTGATGTTTGATTCAAAATAGGGGAGGAACAATGAAAAGAATGGATTGAAAAATGTTAAGGTAGGTACACTATTAAGAAAAAGTACTACATTTATTACGCAGCAGATTTTTAAAATCGATTTATCTCGAAAAGGGCGAGTGCTATCGAAACTAAACAAGAATATCATACTCAAGTGAAAATGATGATATTTCCATATTTCCTGGTCAAACTGCCAAAATTGCATAAATAAAAAAGTTGGGGGAAGAAATGCCCCTAGTCCCACCTATTTCCCACGCCCCTGATCAATATTTCGGAAAATTCTTAACATTTACGAATCGGGCATGAAAATCAATATACATGTACAAAATTTCGTTATCTCATCACAGAGGGGTTTGTCATCTACGGTTCTCTTTCAGATGGCAATAACTCTCTAGGGAGGAATTTCTGGGCTCATATTTGTATAAACTTCTTTTACTATTTTTGTTCCTAGAATCTGTGGGTGAAATATTTCCATGTAATTTCGGGACCCCCTGTATAATGGTATAGGTATAGAATAATTCATTACGCAATAATCAATGTCGAGTAATGAAGTTTTGCCATTTGGCAGAAAATGACTAGATAGTTACATATCTTATCTTAGTCTTAGAGCTATTTAACTGAAAATAATTCAGTTTTTATTTGAGGTTTTGCTGTATGGCGAATTGTTTAGCTTTTATTTCATCAGTATTAGTACCTATCAATTACCTACGAGGCACTGTCAATAATATGCCTTGAATCACATCACTTGAAATACTACGACTGGCACACACTAAGCACAGACTAATGTCTAGCTAGATCCATATATCTTCTGGAATTTGTCTCCTACTTATTGCTGATATGATCTTCTATTGTTTGAAGGGTTTCTTTTTTTGACGAGGCAGTCGAAGATTCCAACGTTGTAACTTTTTCTGTTTCATCACTCGAAACGTCATCTATGTCCACTGAATCGTCCATCTTGATGGAGTTTCCTTTTCCCTTCTTCTCTTTCCTCATTTTATCTTCCATCTCTTGAAATTTCAGAGCCAAATACCTGAAAAAAAATCATTCAAATATATACCGGGTGAAAACTATCATTGGCCAGGGTGTCATTCGTTTTTTTTGCATGTTTTAAACTTCCGGCTTTTGGATCGAATATATTTGTCATTGAAACCCATATATTTCATGAAAAAACAATACAATATAACTTCCGGTTCTACCGGAAATACAACTAGGTCGAGAATTTTCAATCGAACCCTGTTGATATTTTTACGTCATTCGATAAAGCAAACAAAAACCTACAATGGACATCTGTTTTTGAAATGGCGGTGCAGGTGATATATAATGTATGTTGACAGGTTATAAAATGTCACTTTTCATAAAATACTTTTTTCCCACGGGTATATTTTTTCCTGCCTGGATATATATCACAATATATCATATATACAGTGTCCACCCCACCCTTGTTCTTTCGTATACCTAGGGCGATTTGATTTTTTTCTCACAGTATACTACTCAAAATTATCTACTTTTTCGAGTGAACAAAATTCATCAATTCCAATTTCTTTTTTTTTTTTTTTTTTCTTTTTTTTTTATCTTTTTTTTTATCACTTGGAGCGCACGAAAGGGAATCCCTGTAATGTTCAAAGAACATCGCCTACTGTTATCACAAAAACTCCAGCAAAATTGAAGAAAACGGATTAGACATTTTTTTACATTAATGTTGATGTTGGCAATCGATTCGGACTAGTCACAAATACTCTTATATCAATTTTCAAAACAATATCTCATACGGGGTGTTTTTTATCAACGTTACAATTTTTGAATAATTGCACTTTTCATGTCACCGTGTATAATAATTCTCAGAATTTGTATGATATCAGGCATGATGGTAGTCAGGATTAGAACATCTGGCTACAGAGTGAGATAAATAACTAATAAAATCACTGAAAATAAAGATTTTTTTAATCAAGAAATGAATAGATACCAAATGATACTCATCAAAAAATGACATGAAAAATTAGACAAAGTACAAAATATCAATTATTCCTAACAAGTTGAAATTTTTGTATTCTTGATCGAATCTCCTTCATTTTCTACCCATTTTTCATGTCCCTTTCGTACGTTATTTTCAACTCTCCTGCAAGGTTTACAAATTGAGGACATCAGAAATAGGGTAGGTGATCGCAGTAGGCTAAGAAATTGTAATTGATGAATTTTGTTTGCTCGAAAAAGTAGATAATTTTGAGTAGTATACTGTGAGAAAAAAAAATCAAGGAATATGCTTAGGGAATCCTATAGGAATACGAAAGTACAGGGGTGGGGTGGACCAAATTGTAACACACTGTATATACACTGTTGATGGCTTTTGGTGTGCTATAGTTCCGAAAAATAAGCCTATAACACCATTCCATTCGACTTCGCAGTTGAAAAAGTGTTTCTTCATTTGGGACCCTTTTGAAAATCCCGGCATTTTGCACTGTTTCAGCTTTCAGGTAACACCCTGTAGCAATTTTATGTGAAGAATTTTATGTTTCAAAATAGTACGAGATCATAGCTGAAAGACCGGGCTAGCGAACAATGTGATCCGAGTTCAAATTGTTCAAAGTAGAAAAAAGTTATTAATATTTTAACAGGAGCTAAATTTTGGGGTGCGATGAAATTAGTGTTGCGTAGTTTATTTGTGAATGCAATCTTTCGTAGTCAATAAAATATATAGTAAAAGGGATAGACAAAACGTACTTATCGACCAAGGGACCGGAATAGTCCTCCGGGAATTTGGGAGACAGTGGAATGATGTACTTGTACAGCCTCTCGTTGAGAACGTATAGTTGGGAGGTGGTGGCACATTTGACATTGTACCACCAATCGCAAGTCAGCGCCACCTGGCTGAAGATGGTACCGTTCGGACAGAGAAACGATGCCTGGCCACCATTGAGATCGCAGTAATGCCATACCTGAAACATACGGGGCGGTCCTCTTTATAATAAATAGTTATTTAACCAACTAGTGTATTAATAAGGGCGATTAATGATCGAGATATTTCAACGTGCGAGCGAAGCGAGCGCGTTAATGTTCGAGATCATTAATCTTTCCGTCGACTACATTTCTCATTTCTCCTTCAATGAAGAAAACTTGGTTCGCGAATTCATCATTCATCCGGAAACTGCTAAGAATCACCCAGTAGCCTTGTTACTGACCTTACTGACATTTGACATTAATTTGTCGAAATGAACAACATAGAAAATAAATTCCTTGTGTTAGAAAATCGTTTCAGAAACTTGGAAAGGCGAACCCGTTAACGGAAAATCTTCGATGAAATGCATATTTTCGATTTAAATGCAGATTCCGTAAGTTATAGCATAAACAATGAATGCACGCGGTGTATGTTTGGTTGCCTATAAAACAATCGTGCATTAATAGACAAATCGTTCATTAATAGGGGTCATTAATGAACGATTTCATATACATTAAACTTAGTCGTTAATACGAGGTCGACGGAAAAGAACTTTATTGACAATCGCTAGAAGGTCTTTTTTGTATTTCCTATGGATATTGATCGTAAGGAGCTTTGTTTTCGAGTTGAAATTGAAAATAATCTTGCAATATATTTCATAAACATCTTGTATGAGCTATTGATATGGCAAAACTTAGGTCTTCTATGTAAAATGGTGGTAAAATGTTCCCGTTTTCACTCGAAAACGGTGCGTTCTGTCGAGTTTTAACAAAAGGGCATTTTTTTTCTATAAAACTGAATAACGTTCTTCCATATTTTATAACAAAATCTTCAAATTTTCCATCAATATCTGTTTAATACCCAATGAAAAACATTGATATTGCCCTAACAACGCCACTGGTATTAATATTAGCAGAAAAATTTAACGAACGTAGATGCTGACAGATACTTAGTATATCACCAGAATATCTCGTATTTTTGTTGGGCTTATTTCAAGTAATTGAAGGAAAATCAATTTTTTCTTTCATCTTGAACGCATTGTGTATCTCGAAAACGAAGCATCTCAGTTTCAGTCACCACCCTGTATTTGTTTCAATTAAATACGAGTAAATAGTAAATCAAACGTTAAGACATGGACGTGTAAGCCGTTTTGACCAATAATGAATAGTTTTGACACAAAAAATTCCCAAAAATGAAAAATCACGATTTTCCACACCCCATATCTCGGAAATCATTCCCACTAGACCCCAAGTGTGCTAGGTCGTTGAATTCAGCTCTTCAAGGAGAATATGAAAATGCAATGAAATACAGGGTGTTCCATTTGAAAAAATTGATGTACGATTTTGTGAGCCTTTCTTGCGCCCCTCGTATAAAATATAGTCATTCCTGAAGTCAGCACTCATGATGCGATATGATGTGTAATTATAATATTTTGAAAATTCCTATTGGTTCAGAAGATATTTAACTGTCCCACTGGTCTAGGGACACCCTGTATATTGTTTAAGCTGCATATAAATTTCATGATATTGTTTATTATGAAATTGAAATCGTTCAATCTCAGTTCGAATGGAAGATGCGGCCAGAAGCAAACTAAAAGTAATTTTTATCACGGGATTGGCACATTCACTCCATAACACTTTGCCAAAAAGAACGTGTTTCTCCTGGAGTAATTGTTCGATTCAGATGTTCGAGTGCTCAATCTTTTTAGAAATCAATGATCTAAAATTGTATCAGTCCTGATTGGAAGAATACATATTTTTTAATCGCCAGTGATTTTTGAAAATCACAAGAATTCTGGATTCTCCACCATTTTGTTTCTTTCATTTATTGGATTTTCAAATGTTCCATTGTGTACTACAGTTCTTTATCTTTGAAATAACTCTAAAAAATCCGAATTTGATTGAATTTTCATGAAGCCTGAAGCAAAATAATAATAATCGTTTATACGAGGTTAGCACATTCACTCCATAAAAAATTGCAAAGAAATGAGTGTATCTACTGGACAATTTGTTCGATTTCGATGTTCGAGTACTCATTCTCTTCAGAAATGAATAGCCTAAGATGGCATCGGTACAGGTTGGAAAAAATCTGATTTTCTTTTTCTCCAGCGGTTTTTGTAAATGACAATACTTTGGTAGAATCCGCCATTTTGTTTTTGTTGATTATGAAATTTTCAAATATTCCACTGTATACTATAGCCCTTCAGCTATGGAACGACGCCAAGAAATTCGAATTCGGTTGAGAAATGATGAAACCACGAGGAAAATAAAAACTTCCGTTTTTTTTGTGACCGCCCGATAGATTTTAATCAGAATTGAGAAGTAGAACTAAAATGATTGTTTTGTTAGTGGTGACAAAAAAAATAATGGTAAGAATATTATTACCGCTGAAGCCACAGGATATAATTTTGCTACCTGGGTAATACTGCTATTCTTTATTACCTTGGTGTATAAATAACTGTTCCTCACCTGACAATTGGTGTCCGGGTCACCGAAGAACCCCTTGTACCGCTGCGTTTTGCAATTGAAATTCGTCTGAGGGATGGTCGACAGCGCTGGATAATCCACCCCCGGTTTGCCAGGGGTGCCACCCTCGTCCGTATCCAGAGGAAACGACTGGGTACCCGGCAATTCTCCCGGATACCCGCTTATGCCCACTCCTGCCTCGTTGTCAATATCCTCCTCGTAATCCGAGGATACCGAGGAAACCGAAGGTTCGTCTTCGACTACTATTGGTTTCGAGATTTGTTGGCGTTTCTTTAGCGCATCAAGAATCCTCACTAAGGTCTTGATGCTGTTGTCGATGTTGTCTGGGGTCAGAGTTTTTGGTAAGGTGTTGGTAGCTTGCAGATGCTTCAAAATATCTGCCAGTGGTACCGAATTCTTTTGATGGGTTTGTTGATGGTACTGCACATGCTGAGGCTCGTATTTTGGGGTGGAGATCTCTTGTAACTCCTCGTACCTCGTAGTGACCTGGTACGACGTTGGTTCTTCGTACTCTGGTTCAGGTACCTTCTGGATCTCCTCATACTTTGGACTGTCTTGATACACCGTGGGAGTTTCATAATTATTGTAGTCGTAAGAGTCCTTGTTAGGTGTTTCTTCTGAAATTTGTATGTACTTTGGGGCTTCGTAATCGTCGACATGTTTCCCTTTGAAGATTGGCTTTCTTTGTATCACAATCAACGGTTTACGAGTGTCTCGAGAGTCTGGGGCTGGTACTATAATGAAAGAATTTTGCTGGTAAGGTTTCCTGGTAATATAATCCTTCACTGGGTACTGAGGCTCTCCCAAAACGACCTGTTGATCGATGAATGGTTTGGTTTCTCTGTAGTTTTCGATTGGTCGGAAGGGTACATTGCTAGGGCCACTTGGTATGTCGATACTGGTCGCCGTGAAAGTCTCTATAGTGGTTTTCGTGGGCTGTATCACCTTGTAGCCGCTATAATCGACTTGTGGTTTGAAAACGTATCTTTGTGGTGGGGCAAGACTCGGTCTCCTGCTGTTTTGTTCCAGCTTCAGCTGCGCCAAGTTGTCGTATATCGAGCTGAAATTGGGAACTTTGTTTTGCGGTACGGATACGTATCGAACTTTGACGCTGGGGGCTCGTTGGGGTAGATGGACCATGGGCCTGAAAGCGCCAGGAAGGGCGTTGCTTTCCAGGAAGGGGGTGAACTTGCTCTGGGTCTGATACAGGGCGTCCCGCGTTTGTGGGTACGGTGCTTGTTGGTTGTAGATTGGCTTCGGGACGTAATCGTTGTATTTTTCGAAGGGTCTTTGGAATCGTGGTCGATTGAAGGGTTGGTTCTGGTAGAAGGTTTCGTAGGGCAGCAACCTCTTTTCTCGTTCTGCTGGGGTCAGTGTATTGTTGGAGATTTCGGGTTTTTCGCTCATCATCGTTACCATGTTTGTGATACTAGATTCTTCGGGTTTGTCGTGGTGAGTTGTAGTTATCGCCAGGGTGGTGAAGATGTAACCTGCAAAAAACCCATCATGTATTCACAAATCACAATTCATTTGCCTCGCACGATGGTAAGATATTCTTCTAGAATGATTTCGTTACATACAGGGTGTTTGAACACATTCAATTGGATAAGGGGTAATATATGAAAAATGATTCTTTTCCGAGATACAGCCCATTTGGATATGGTCTATGGTTTATTTACACAGTTGTTTTGTTTTCAATGTATAATATAGGTTATAATCCATAGCAGATTAGTTCAATTTCTAATTTATTTTTATTTCCAATAAATTCTGACTGTTTATGGTCTTGATTTCTTGCTCCATTCATTATTTTTTGTTCAAGCTTTTTTAGAAGAGGTTCGACGGCCGGGTTCGGTTTTGTGTCGCGTTTTTGTTACAAAAAGGTATAAACGGTGAAATAGACACCTGAATAAAATTAGTATATGATTGACAGTTGTCGCAAATCGTTCGTTACTCCCGTATATAAAACTTTACCGAAATTTGACTCAGTGCAATGTGTCTCGTGAGTTGAATGCTCGAATTAAACGATCAACTGACTTACCTTAAGGAAGATTGATCATAATTATACGAACATTTTCGTCGAAGAATTATAAGTGATTGACTACTTGTAGTTGTTCCTTTTTCTTCCAATCTGTACGAATTTTAAAGTGAGATTAAAAACAGTCCGGCAACTCTGTCCACAATCCGGCAACTCCGCTACACTCCTCCACCTCGCTCAGGCACCGCCACGTACCACGTAGCTGGCAGCGTCATTGTTCTTTGAGTTAAGAATGCTAGATCGTCAGGGTGGGTTAATATGGGTGGGTTATAATTCTTCGACGAAAATGTTCGTATAATTATGATCAATCTTCCTTAAGGTAAGTCAGTTGATCGTTTAATTATACTTCACATTTTCGTCTCGAATTATAAGTGATTGACTACTTGTAGTTGTTTAAAGCAGAATTAATCTGAGACGATCTAGCAGAAAAAATTTATTGGATACACTTATCCACAATCTGCAGTACAAAATATAATAAACAATATACAACATTCAAAGAATAAGTATGTAATATACAATATAAATAATATGGCTTAAATTTTAGTCAATTTCAATTCCTGAGGCTCTCATTACTCCTCTGGCAAAATTATTAGGGTCTTCTTGGATTGGTTTATTATAGAATTTCATAAATACTTGAGATTCAGGTGTCCAGCCTGCTGCTTTTCTTATAGACTCAATATTTACTCCTGCTCTGAAAGCAGCGGACGAAGAAGCATGTCTCACACTATAGCTTTTAAATTGATCAGTATCAATGCCTCCTGCCATTAGGGCTCTCTTGATATATTTACTGAGAGTCTGTGGCGAGGCTGGGTGAATTGGTTTCTTAACAGTTAGGATTAAATGTTCCTCTCCAAGAGGTCTGATTGAATTCGTCCTTTCAATGTAACTGTGTAGTGTCTTTGCTAAACACAGTTCGGGTTTTTCTAGAAACACAGGTGCTACTAATACTGGTTGCACATTTTTGGGGCCTGAAGTTTTAATTCTGTCGGTTATGTAAATCTCGACCCTGTCTTCGAATTTTTTAATGTTTTTTAATTTAATTTTTGAAATTGTTTGTATTCTCTGTGAAGAAATTATTGCTAATAATGTTACAAGTTTTATAGTCAGTTCTTTGATGTTCAACTGTTCTAATGGGTAGAGCCTTCCCAGATATATGAGGACATCATGTGGGTCCCATGTTATATTGTACTTAGGTTTAGACGGCCTCTGATTATATACTCCTTTGAGAACCCTTTTTAGGAGCTTTTCATCTTCTCCTTTGATTTGAAAGATGAATGCTAGTGCCGACTTGTACATGTTTATTAGGGAGTAGGACTTACCACTTTGGTATTGAGTATTCAGGAAGGTTATAATTATTTTTACATCTGATTCATATGGATCCGATTTGTTTTGTTGTGAAAATTTCCACCATGCTTTATAACAGCTTTCATATTGACTGAGAGTCCCCTCAGTGATTGAGTGGATTATTGTGTGGAATGCCTCTTGGGGTACTCCTCTCTTGCTGAAGGCTCTCCACACAATACTCCTGCCACCAGGGTAATTTTCTGCCACAGAGTGTGATGGGATCTGAAAGGTGATAATAGTAAATCCCTATTTGGTTGAAAGACTATTGGTGGAGATTCTAGTAGTCTAGTGAATGTTGGGTACCAAGGCTGACTCGGCCATTTTGGTACCACAACTATGCCTCTAGCCTTTTCTTTCTCGATTTTTCCCAACACGTTAGAGATTATGGAGAATGGTGGGAAAGAGTAGAAAAACCATGGATTCCAGTTTTTAGTAAATGCATCGACTGCAATGGAATGAGGGTCTGGTTTCCAAGAAAAGAATCTTTGACATTTGGTGTTAAGAGAACTGGCGAACAGATCTATTTCAGGATTTCCTAATTCTTGTCTGATAATTTCGAAGTATTTATCATTCAGTTCATACTCTGTTTCAATAGAGTTATTACGTGATTCTCTATCGGCTTCGATATTATCTGCAGAATTTATGTATGATGCAAAAATCCAGATTTCTCTACTCTCACACCAATTCCATATTCTTCTAGTTAAATCAGATAAATTTTTATGCCTCACACCCCCCATACGGTTAATATATGCAATGGTGGTGGTATTATCGATTCTTAGGAGAATATCACAATTTTTTAGATCTTTTGTAAATGATTTGAGTGCATAAAATGCGGCAAGTAATTCTAATTGGTTAATATGGTATTTTTTCTGGTCGTTATCCCAAAAACCTCCTGTTGTAATTCCATTGGCACAGGCACCCCACCCTGATAGGGATGCATCAGAAAATATCTCTAATATATAGTTATGTTGTCTTATGGGTGCCCTGGAGTTATGAATGTTTGATAACCACCACTCAAATTCAGGAATCAGTATCGCTGATATTTGCATGGTTTTTTCAAATAGACCTCCATTTTGTTTCAGAGCCTTATATTTTTCCCTCTCAAACAGTTTTGTATGAACCCAACCATAGTTCACTGCAGGACATGCTGCAACTAGAATGCCTATATATTTAGCAAATTCTCTGATCTTACAAAACTTTTTATCTTTCATGGTCAGAGACATTTTGTAAATATTATCACATTTTTCTTGAGGGAGCGATAATTCTAGTCTTTCTGAATTATAAATGAAGCCAAGGAATTTACAAGTTTGACTAGGATCTAGTATGCATTTTTGATAATTTATATTGAAGCCTAGATCCTGTAATAACTGTATTACAATGTTTAGATGATGAAGACAATTATTATAGCTGTCTGAGATGATTAATATATCATCTAAGTATATAATGCATGTAATGCCTATCTCCCTCACCTTGCTTGCAAAAGGTTTCAATATTTTTGTGAAAGTATAAGGTGCTGTTGAGAGCCCAAAGGGTAAACAATTAAAATGATATAAGGATCCCTGATATTCAAAACATAAAAATTTTTTACTGGAATGTTTTATCGACACACTGTAGTAGGCGTCTTTCAAATCAATTTTTGCAAGATAGCAATCTTTATGTAATAATTTTAAGACCGTTCGATAGTCCTCCAGTTTGAAATGGGGAACCCTTATGAATTGATTCAACTTTTTCAGATTAAGAATAAATCTGTATGACCCATCTGGTTTCTTAGTTAAGAAATAGGAGGACAGAAACACCTCCCCCTCCTTTTTGTGAGCTGAGATAGCTCCCATACATAAAAGCCTATTTATTGCTTCCTGATAGTATGCTTTTTCACTATTTTTGATTATAGTATTAGGTGAGGAAGTCTGGAATGGTACCTTTGTGAATTTGATTTGATACCCCTGTACCCAGCTTAAAATTAGGGGATCATTTGTGATTTTTAGCCAATTATGGTAAAAATTAACTAAAGAGCAAGCTCTTGTCACCTCTATTGTCTTCTCCTGTATTGGGGTTCTTGATTGCTCTGCTTCTTGAAGATCTTCCTCTTGTCGTCCTCTTTCTTCTTCATTTTGGTAAAGGGGCGCCTGTAGTTTAAATACTGAGATTTTGACGTGGAAGGTCTTGTATCCAGAGGGCCTGTTGTCCTCGGTATATATCGTTTCTTCAGGTCTGCACCCAGTTTTTTAAGTTCTTGATTTGCTTTAATTCTAGATGTTAGGTCAGCTCCAAACAGCCACTCATCAATGGGGGATTCTTCACATAACTTTTTGACTGTTGGGTTTAATATGGGCAATATTAGGTATCTTCTATGTTGGGACAGGGAGTACATGGAGTCAATCAATAATTTTGAACCATTGACTAAGTCAATCAAGATCTTGTTTGATTCTTCTGTTGGTTGACAAAATATTTCATTCAGGGGTTTTGCTATTGCGCTTATACCAGTGGCAATTTCAGTCTGCAATCTAGTTAAATAAGTATCCATTTTTTGGATCTTTTCGTCCAACCCAGCTTGTAATTCCAGGTTTAATTTTGGTGGGCGTAGCTCAATGCAATTTTTGATTAAGGGGTATTTGTGCATGACTGTATTCCTACCTTCCTTGTCCAAACCATTTTTAAGGTATGATCTCCATCTCCCTGCAATCTCTTCGTGGATGTCTATCCCTTCCTCTGTTGGAGCAGCAGGATTTTCGCCTAAAATTGTCTTGATTTGCTCCTGATCTTCTTGTCTGTCATTGATATTATCCTCTGCAGTTATTTCTAATGGGTCGATTTCTGGTTCACCCTGTATCGTCATCACTTCTGGCACTTCCATGTCCGAGGAAGAATCGCTGGTACTAGAAGTACTGCTTGTACCTGGAGAGATATATACTATAAGTATTTTGTGGGCCTCATCAATTTTATTTTTGGTAAATCACGTGATTCACCCTGTTAGTAGGAATGAGTTATGATAAAATTATCTGCATGATAATTTCATTTTTCGCACACCAAGCACAAGCCTCGCATGAGATTGCATTTTGGTATTTGCGATAAAAGACAGCGCCTCGCGTGAGGGCTTTATTCTTATACCTA